AAGGGTTGAACCAATGTTTTTGAACCGTCGTTGACCTAGATGGTCGGAACGTTTTCGTTTCACCCTTGACCCGTTCTTGGGTAAAAAACCATTGACTTTGTTAGAAAACTATTGGCCCAGGCAGTCGAACTATCAATTCGTTTGACCTGGACAGTGGTTTGCAGTTTAAGAAATTGCAAAGAGGGGAGAAACTAAGAGTCTGAGTATGAGACACGAATTCAAATCTGATATCCAAAGAAGAAGAATAATAATTGACCTCGGATATGAGATCTGAGAAAAAAATGAAAATCTGAGATTTGAGAAAAAAAATAAAAAATCGATCTCAGATCTCAGATCCAAGAACTCATATGATCATTCTTAGATCTCGGATATGAGATTTGAGAAAAAAATGAAAATCTGAGATTTGAGAAAAAAAATAAAAAATCGATCTCAGATCTGAGATCCAAGAACTCATATGATCATTCTTAGATCTCAGATTTGTCATCTGCGCTGTTACCGCCATCGCCGTCGCCAGTGAGCGTCGAATCATTCTCCTCCTCTTCCTTCTTCTTCCCTCATTCCCTCTTTCTTTCCTTCCTTTCCTTTCTCTCATTTTCCTTTTTTTCCTCTCTCCTTCATTTCTTTCTTTCCTTCTTCTTTTCTTCTTTCTCATTCGACAATAGACTCTCTTCTCTGGTTCTCCTTTCTCATATACAAGTATATAACTATTTGCTATTTTGCCCTAATGCAAACCATCCGAACAGTTTGACCTAGACGGTCAAACCGCTGACCCGAAAATTGGTAGCTAGAACGGTTCCGTTTTCGGGTCAGTTTTTAAAACCTTGGGTTGAACAATGAATGTGAAGATAAATTAATATAAACTCTTTTTTTTCTTCGTTTTCTTTATGTTTTCTCAGGTTTAAATAAGCTTTCAACATGTTCGTTTGTCTTCAATTATCAAGTAAGTCTATGCTTGTCCTGAATCTTTTTGTGTGTTTGCTATTTTTCTTATACGATTTCATACTTCGTTCCCTGTAATATATGGTAGTATGGTACTTGTCATTCCTCATATGAAGAGAGAGAGGAGATGGAATCCCTTTTAAAAATTTGTTTGGTTAATATAAACTTTGTTGGTGTTCCTCTAATGTTTCCCTATTACAAAGGAGATGGTATCCCCTTTAATGTATTTTGGGATTATAGATAAAGTAAAATTCTTCATTAGTACCTTGTATTTTGGGTCTAGTGCCACTTTGGTCCCCAAACTTTAAAATGCGACAATTCAATATTTAAACTTTCAAAATGTAATAATCTAGTACTTACCGTTAACTAGCTGTTAACTAGCCATTACGTGGCATTTGAAAAAGACACAAATGCTCTTCGAGTATCATCTAATTTTCTCTATACACAATCCAAACATTGACAAAAAATTATGTTTGGAAAGAGTAAAAATACAAATATATAAAATAGAAATACATGCAAAATAATACAAAATATAATGTTTTACACTTTACATATTTGTATTTTTACTTTGTTCAAACTGAGCCTAATGGTCCAATGACAATGTGAAGCTTAGGAAAAGAAGGGGGGAGGAAAAGGTTCAGTCAGGGTCTGAAAAGGAATTTGATGATTTCAACCAGGCTCCAAGCCTCCAAAGTTCAACCAGGTGAATGCAAGAAAGCAGTTTGACCATGGCATTACACTCTAAAGCAAGCATCTAAACTGATTACTACTATAAAAAACAGTAAGTACTCCATAAACAGATCCTACAAAGTTCTACCTTCAACGATTGAATCATCACAAAGCACGATAATAGTCCTTCCATTTTTCTGAAATGGAGCAAAATGTTTCGCCAAACCCGTGAGGAAGAAACTGAAGTCAAGAGAAAATTTATCGTTTGGGGTCCGATTCCTTTGAGACTACAAATTAAGCTCGGCCTTGAGATTTCTTCAAACTGATTTGTCTCTCAAGTACTCCATGCATAATTTACCCCTCTTCTCAGACAGGCCTTTCAGTAACAGCTCGGCATTCTTCTGGGGTTGGTCGAGGGTATGTTTGGGTAAGGTCCCCCGCCGTGTTTTGGTTTTTGCTACTCTTTGATTTGTTGGGAGATTGTTCTTTTGATTGATTCTTCCTTTTATTACCACACTTCTCCATGAAGAGGCAGATAGGGATTGGGGAAATTACCATATGCTACCTCATGACGAAGCTGTGGACACCAGATAGGGATGGACATGGATGGGCCAAAGGCAAAATGGTTCATTGGATACTTCCAGCCCAGCATGTCTGGGAGTGAATTGGGCCCAAAAGAATTTAGCTAAACTGAAATGCTAGTTTGAGCTCAGCAGAATACCAGTGCATGGGGCCCACACCTATCACAGTGGGGCCCATGAATTTATTGTTACTTGCTAGCGTAGAACATCAACATTAGTTCCACAGGCAGCCGAACAGCCATCGCGTTCGGCCAAACCTTGCTCGTTGTCTAAAGGAGAAGGGTGAGCACATATGGCTCTCAACAGAGTTCGGATTTCTTGCCTATATTTATCGCAGTCACACATGGAGAACATCTCATCCTCTTCATAGAATTATGCAGGGGGAGATGTTACCAATTCACAAGAGGTAGTGTATTAGTGTATTGTGATTTGTGAGTAGGCGTGGGCAGAGTTATTATGGGCAGGAGATCCGAAGTCCGTTCAACATTAGTCTTGAGTTACATCTTTGCCTCTCATTTAGGGAAAATTTTGGCTGCCTACAGCCTACAGGCCGCCTATCAACCTCCATATGGCGCGTGTCTAACAGTCTAAAACCATTATAATCTAAGTTATCTAACCGGAGCTAAAAAAATTCCTATTACAAATGAAAATAGTTTTTTCTAATATTTTTTACCAAAAAAAACTCTGATTTTTTAAAATATCTGAGTGAAACAGTCTTGCCCGCTCTGTTGTTCTTTTGCCTCTCTCTCTGACTCTCTCTCCCTCTCTCTCTCTCTCACATTAGACTAGCCCACTACCTTCGATCGGAGTTTTCCACGGTCTTTGTCACCTGACCTCATTCTAGCCATAAGAGATTGATGACCATTTCTTCAATTCTTTAGTGGGACATTAGTCGGAGTTGCAGACTTCGGAGGTGGTGTTGGAGTTGCAGATCGATTTTGTAGTTCCCTCTAGGTTGCTCTGTATCTGGCCTGGTCTAGTATTAACTATGGTATCACTTTCTTGAACCCAATTGTTCTTTCTACAGAAAACTCTACTCAAATTGTTGACTAATAACTTGTGAAGATCTTTCTCTTTTACTGTGAACTCTTCATTCCTAACTCTCTTTTTTTAATCATTCTCTCTCTCTCTCTACATCATATTACAATTTGTCTTGTCATTGCATATCTCCAATTTCATAATAGTTCTTACATGGTTGGAGACATTGTTGAGTGAAACATGTCTGGTTCTAGGTGTGCCTCTGCATAAATCCAGGCTGAGATTGTTTTTTTCTTCTTACTTAAGTTCTCTTGTTGTAATTTTGAAATGCTTTCATTTTTTTTTCGTTTTTTGGATGAATTCTTCTCTACGTTTAGAGGTGCATTTGCTCAATGATCTTTTTGCAATCTGTTTGTAGCAACTAGCAACAAAGAGATATAGGTAACTTTTATAGATTTTGTGTTTTTCTATCTTGGCTTTGATCTTTTAGTTAATCTATCCGATTAGCTGATTTTTATTTTCATCGATAGGTGCAAATAATTTAGTCATTTGTAAAATTTTATTTTAGCAGATAAAAAAAACTCTCGTGGTCATATATTTAGACAAAGGTGGTGGTGGCTGATCTGATGGAGTTGGGGAAGAGATGAGGAAGAAAGGGGCAAATGGGAGAGATGACTGGGGCGAAATGAAAAAAAAACATGCGGAAAAGATTTTATAAAATAAAAAATGTCTTTTATTTCATAATAACGGATTTAGGTTTCGTTAGTTATGCATTAAGTTGAAAATAAATTTGCCACGTGTCATATGGAGGTTGATATTCCTGTCGCCTGTCGACAGCCAAAGTTTTCCCCTCATTTAGTACTTGAAAGTTGAAAAGCCAAAAGGCCCTCGTTAACTTCCCAGTGAAGCTACTTATGACAGATAGCTTCTCACAGTTCAATCAAGACTGAAGCCCTCCCACAATGACCCATATTAACGTGAGAGTACTTTTATCCCCGTAGAAATCTCGCAAATAAGGACACCCCTAATCCCCAAGTTACAAATAGACCTGTTCATGGGCCGGGTGGCCCGAAGGGCCGGCCTGGCCCGGCCCGACCCCCGAACGGACTTGAATATGTTTATAGGCCTGCGGGTTTAAATTCGGGCTAAAAAGCCCAGCCCGCAATAAATTCAAGCCGGGCTCAGGTTTTGTCAAAATAGCCCGGTCTGGCCTGACCTAATATTAAACTTAAATTTAATTATGTGATTATGTCCGTTTGAATAAATTTTTTGATTTAAGAATGTAAAATTGTGTTTTAAAATATAAAAGAAAGGGAAAAATACCATCTTGTAGGCTCATTGTTCATTTAAATAAAAAAAGAAAATACTATATGAATTTTTAATTCTAATTTGAATGGAAAAATTGTTCCATAGCAATTAATTAATTCTTGCTCGACTTCTTTGATCTTGGATGAAAGAACTTCTCCAATCCAAAGTAAATTGGTAACCTTTAAAAGGCCATGTTTGGATGAAAGCAACTTTTCCTCATCTTTCCATTTATCTCTTCTTTTCTATCAAACCAAATACAATTAAGAATAAGAAGGACCTGATGCCCAGCATATTTTATATTCTAATCTTACTCGAGAAATTGCTTCTGTTTCCATAGTTGCATTCATACTTTCCACTTCCAGTTCTAGAAGAAGATGCTTATTAAGGCTCAGTATGGGGAAGAATGCAAATACATAAAGTGCAAAATCTTATATTTTATATGCATTTGTGCTGTGTATATTTGTATTTATACGCCTAAACAAACGATAATAACACTCAAAAAGTCTCAAAGTCGATGGAATCCTATAAAGAACTGTGAGCCCATTTTTAGATTCCGCACCCTTTTTTCTGCAAATAAAATGTAGAATACCAAGCCCGTCCCCCGAAAGAGAAAAAAATGGTAATCTGAAAATAATCTCAATTCTCAACTCCTGCCCTATTTAGTATTTACATCCTTTCCAAGTTCCAACAAAACTCGGCAAATAAAAAGGGTTCAAAGTTTCAGTCTTTCAGGCACCAAAAAAAGAAAAAGGAAATAAGAATGCTGCCGTAATTACAGACAGTGGCAAACAATCAAAAGTTCAAAACGTTGTTGAATTCAAACCCGACTCGTTCTTCCCATAACCACCAAATCGGTAACGCGCCCGACTCATTGCTCCTGACTCCAACACGTCCTCCCAGTCTACCTCCTCTTGTTCATCTCTCCCTTTCATCATCTGTAACATTCTTCTCGCCTTCTCCCTTGCTCTCTCACTCCCTCTCTCTTCCACCTCCCTCAACACCTGCACCGCTCCCGCTTCCCTCGCTAACCCTTTAAACCTAAAACTCCCTTGACTCAGGGCGTATAGCGCCGCAACACAGTTCTCCCGAGTCGCCTCCGACTCGAACTTGTAACCCCTCAGCATCCCCACGAAACACTCAACCGCATTGGCATCGAGCATCGCCGTGCGTCCCTCCTCGCACGCCGCTAAATTGCACAATATAAGCAATGCACGGCTTGCCAAATCCCCCGCCCTCGCCATGGTTAAAAGCGTCGGGATTGAACCCATTTTCACGAGTTTGGTGCGGTTGCTCTGAACGAGTGAGAGGTGATACAAAGCTAGCGCCGAGTCGTGCCGAGCCCGCTCGCTCTCGGACCGGAGCAGGTGCAGAAGCGGCGGCAACGCCCCCAACACCCCTATCGCCGTTTTATTGTCATCGTCAAGCGCCAGGCTGAAGAGGGCACCGGCCGCGTGTTCCTGCGCCTCAGCGAATCCACCTTTCAGTACATCGATCAATGGTGGTATAGCCCCTGACCTTACGATCTTCACCTTGTTGATCTTCTCTAAAGATAGATTCACCAATGCTGCCACCGCGTTTATCTGAATAGTAGAATATCGTGATACCAGGAGAGGTCGCAGGGCTGACAGCAATCGAGGCGTGCATAGGCTAGCCCTAATTTCTTCTTGGGTTCTCGTTACCTTCCTTAGAGAGATCACGGCTTCCTCCTGCTCAAATACCTGAGAGCTCTTGAACTTAAAAACGAACCCGTCGTCGTCAGACGAGTTGGGATTTAGATTTTCGTCATCTGCGGTAATTTCAGACGAGGACGAAGAAGAGTAACAAGAGGGTCGAGTGGAAAGAGGTAGAGGCGTACTGGGAATCGTAATCGTCACCGATTCCTCCGAGCTAGTATAGAAGTGAGTCGGCCGTCGATTTACTTCGGTCTCCGCGTGACTAAACTTAACGGGAGGTTTCTCTGCAACCCCTTCCAGCAGCTCCTTTTCAGAAGTTCCTAGCTTGGCATCCTTTTCATCTTCCTCCTCTTTCTTATCGTGCTCGCCCTGTGATTTTTCTTCCTGGGGCATCATTAATGCACGAACAAGTTTCTCTGCGGAGGCATATTCCATGGATTTTGGTCGTTCGACGCCAGAATTATCGCACCAGTTGAGAATAGTCGATTTGAAGGCGATGTTGGGAATTACCGTAGAGAAATCGGGCTTGGAACCGTCTAAGAGGATCGGTGTAAAACCCAATTTCTTACAAGCATGAACGCAGTTTCGCTCGAATGTCTGACCGGAAGCAACAATTACAGGATCCGCCATTAAAGACCTAGAAATTGGACACACAAATTCCTTCGGGGATTGCTTCGCTTCGGACTTCAAGGCACCCGAAGAAGACCGGCGGAAAGGGAACCACTTGTGCTTCCCACTCTTCATCTATGCGATTAATCTTCCAATCTATTGTCTCTCTTTGAAGTTTATTGGATGGAAGTTCGAGTGACTCTTTTCGAAGTTATTCCAAAAAATTGAGTAAAAATCTCAACTTTTTTCATTGTTTCGATGACAGATCGAACATACAAACAAACATATCGATTAGATGAAGTCAAATGAATTGCAGCGCCGAAAATGCAAAAAGAATCTAGAAGACGGATGTTATCTCTCTGATAATCCTGCACAGATGAGGCTGAAGTTACCGTAGATCAAAGTCTTCCGGGTGTTCCGCGAGCCTGCGACTGCCTGCAGGGTGCAGTGATAAAAGTTAGCAGGAGAAGAGGCAGGGGTGTTTGTTAATTTCCCGTATTACTGCAACTTTCAACAGAAACGAGATTACGTTCAGAAGCCACAAGCCAGCAATCTTAACGACTTATTTGTTTACCTGAGATTCGTTAATTATTTACGGAACTGCCTTCTCTAATTCCTTATTTCTCTTCCGACTACCGATGATACCCTCGTACAAGGCTCAAAATAACCAAACATGACATTGATTATTTCAAACCTTGACCGTTTCCGGACGCCGAGTTTGACCTTCTTGGGCCCTTGCTACGTGGGAAAGTATATGGAAATAGGCTTGATTATATAGGATAGCTGTTGGACTGAGTGATGTCTGCAACGGGGAAGGATCATACTTATATCTATCCTATTGGAATCTGTGCATTTTACCAACGTCGATTGATTATTTTCTCACAGAAGTAGTCGCTGCAGAATTCTGAAATTACAGCCCCTATAGTCTACTACTATATCTTACCGCCCCATACTCTGGAACTCCTATAAACCGCATCCTATTCGTGTATTTGACATTAATCCACGGTTAGGATTTATTTCACTTGTACGGTGGATTAAAAATTCTGAGGTGGGCTGAAGAGTCATTCTCTAAGTTTTTAAAACTGACCTAAATAACGAATCGATCAAGGGTTCGATTCCCGGGTCGAACGGTCTATCTGTTCTAACAATAAAAATTAAAAAAAAAATAAAAAATGGTCAAAATGGTTTGAACAGTTCAATCGCCTGAATTAGTGATTTGCTGACCAAATCAACATTTTTTGGCCAAAATTACGGAGCTGGTCACCTAACTAGTTCCCGATTTTTTCGGTCCAACCGTTCGAACTGAATGGTCGGACCGTTTTGACAAAAATAAAAAACGGTCAAAACTGTTAAATGGTTCGAATGGTTCAACCACCCGGGTCAATAGTTTGCTAACCAAATCAACATTTTTTGGCCAAAATCCGGTTTTGGCGAAAAACGGAATTGGTCAGGTTTTTCTGGTCCAACCATCTGGTCTGATCCGGTTTGGAAAACCATGATTCTTCATGAACCTGTTCAGCCCACCTCAAAATTCTTAGCTCTACCATACAGATGGGGTGAATCCTAACCGTGGATTAATGCTAAATTCACAAAGAAGATGTAATTTATATGAAAAAGCACAGATTTGCCCAATGCAGATTTCTGATTTACATTGTAGGGCTATAAACATTCAAATGGACCGACACCCACACTCTATGCACCCACGCCCGCCCGTAAATTGGAATCAATTCCGAGCTGGCACCTACCCCGACCGTACATTGAACCTACAAATTCTGACACTGGGGTATCGGTCATTCTCCCTAATTTATAAGGGGGACTATAATTTCAGAATTCTGCAATGCAGTTGTACTTCTCCGTTATGGGTTTCTAGCATATAAGGGAAACTTTTGGGGTTTAATACCAATAAAAGTAATATATTTAAAAAAATTTCAAAAATATGTTAACTTTTTAAAAATAATATCAATAAAGGGCAAAAACATTGTTCATCTTCTTCTTCTTGCCATTTGTTCACCAGAGCCGCCCTCTGCCTTCGGCCACCTCCGGCAACATTGTTGGAGGCGGCGGGCAACATCGGACGATGACTCTGGTGAACAAATGGAAAGAAGAAGATGAATAGTATTTTTGCCCTTTATTGATATTATTTTTAAAAAATTAACCTATTTTTGAAAATTTTTTTAAATATATTACTTTTATTGATATTAAACCCCAAAATTTGCCCTTATATGCTATTACCCCTTTTTTTTAATGGATTGATTAGCTTTTATACAAAAAAAAACACTTTTTTTAAATAACAAAAAAAGGACACTTACGTCATAATCCATTCCTTTCTGTTCCTATTACAAATTTTCTCCTATTAACGCCTTGAAAAAAAAAAAACCTCGTGTGAACAGAAATTAAGTAATTACGGTGAGAATTTTATTATGATGGAAAATAATCATATAAGAATTTTTATTGATTCTCCGCCTCATAAATTTTTATCTGTTTTTACAGTTGCGATCAATAAGTGAGAAAGGTATTGAAATAAAGGGTGATTTATTAAAACACCAACATATAGCTTCATGGATTTACAAAACCACCTATCCGTTGTGTTTTATTAAAATACCCCCTTATATACATTTGAGCAAATTTAATGAAAATGAAGATATCAATTTTTCCCCTGATAAGACACAAGCTTTATTTAGTTAATTTTGTTTTCTATACAGAGAAATTGTAAAGATACTATTGAAATAAACAATCATAAGATTTCCACTTAGTTAGATGATCATGTCACTATTTACAATAACTTCTTAGTGAAAGGTAAACTATGAATAGGGTTAAGTAAGTCTATGAAATTATAGGGGGTATTTTAATAAATGACCTTCAAATAAAAGAATAGGGTATTGTATAATAGGTGGAAATTTTGGTAAATATGTGGGCTGGACAAATTATAAATTTCTAGAGTTCAAATCAGCCCCCCCACAATGTTTCACAGCACATTTCCGCTGTGTATTGCAAATATCTCCCCATGATAATATTAAGAATGATGATATCATCATTAGGAAATATTCTCAATACACAGCGATGATGTACTGTGAGATGTTGTGGGGGGCTGATTCGGTCTCAAATTTCCATATCTACTGTGAGATAAGACTATAATGAATCACGTTGGGTTTCTTATGTGAGTATGTAACTTATAATAGGATTTCATTTGTTATGAGATGATATTAGCTAATTTTCTATTTTAAATTAAATTTTATTTTATTTTTTTGAAGAAAAAGCCCTCTTTTGTGTGAGGGTTTTTTACATGTGCTAGACTTTGGTAACAGTTTTTATTATTTTTCCTCATCAAAAAGCACTTGGGAAGTGTTCGATTCGTGATTATATTTGTGTTTCATCCGGTTGATGAAGATAATCAGTGTTTTATATTACTATTTGTATGTCATTACTGGTTATAAAACTAGCAAAGTGGCCTCTTTTTAACACAACTTATTGTAGCTTTTTCAACCAAATAATATGGTTTCTTGATGTAAACATAATATGGCAGTTACATGTTGTGTCTGTGTCACTGTACAGACAGTGTTGGACTAAACTAGCAATTTTTGGAAGTTCAGCTACTATAATGACATGGGTACTAAAGTGAAACTATCCCTAAAATATAAGGAATTAATTTGCAATTTAACAAAAAAAAAAAACATTGGTACTACACTAACTTGACCCTATAATGCTAAAGTTAGGTTTAGGTTGAGATGGGGCACATGCTCAACTTATATATCACGTAACTTATAAGTGATGTTCGGTTTGAATTAGAGCCAAGGTGGACAGATAACAAATGATCCTATCAACTTGAATGAGCCAAGGTGGAAAAACGAGGTAGTGCATCGAACAGATTTGCAACCAAAGTTATAGTCAGAGGCATGAAGATGTGGTCCCTGGGGAAGACATTCCGATGGTCAAATAAATAAAGAGTGGCAATATTGATTGGCCTGAATTGTTGAGAACAAGTTGATCCGGGCCGGGGTGAAATATGAGAGCAAGAGGGCAAGAAGTTGTGAGAGATCTTAAAGATGAAAAACCTTGAGGGGAAATGCCTTAAATAGCCACGTGTCATAACCGGCTGGATTACACTCCATGTCTCGCACATCGCTTCCTTGAAGAGGCCGAGATCAGGATCTTCATGATCGGTTTGGATGAGGTAGGCACGAAGTTGTAAACACGTGCCAAAATATTTATCAAGTGTTCATGTCCAGGGTGTCTTGTAGTTTTATCTGTCCAGGGTTTGTGTGAGACAGCTTTGATTATCTGTTCGGTGCTGACTTAAAACTACTAACATGGCCAAGGTTATCGGATGGGCCCAGTTGCTTTGGTGTCCACATAACGAGTATAAACGACTGAGATACGGTCAATGAGCATTTATTTTTTTTTTTTACACAGAGAATGTCAAATTTGAAATATTATAGAGGATATGTGGGCTTTTTATTGTTTACTATTGTAAACTTGATTAAAATAATCTTCCATATCTATATATTTGAAACATTGAATGACGGCGGTAGATTTTGGATTTAGGTTTTGGAATGATCGAGTTCCCATGATGCACGAGGGCTTTGTTTGGTAAAGCCAAATATTCCACTTGCTTTTCGCCATCACTAAATTATTAATTATTTGACCCCCAAAAAAGCAAGCTACTTCATCTCCCTTTGTCTTAATTAAAAATAAATTTTAATTAATTAATTGCTTAAATTAATAATTATTGCTCTAATCTCTGCAAAAGCTTTATCACTTATGTTGTTATCTTTCTCTAAGACACACAAGAAAAAAAAAAGAAAAAAGAAAGTATTAAAGTAAAGCCCTGTAAGTGTAAATGGTGCCCCAAAATTTGATATCTGCTGATTGGGGATGAGCATCGGTTATGGTGTGTGGGACCTAGACCCAACATAAACTCAAAAGTGAACCAATCACTCCACAATGGGTTACTTACTGGTTAAGATTTGTAGGCTAAAAGTTGAAAATATTTTAAGCTGCGATATGGTATATAGCCCACTAGCCCCCGGTTTTATTTGGTAACAGAGATAGGACGATGGGGCGATGGGGGCTTAAACTGTCAAACATCTAGGATATGTAGCCAGCTAAGCGGTTATGGGCCTCATCTCCAGGTGTCCTGTTACGAATACATCTGCATTGAATTGCAGTGGAACTGTGGAACTGTGGAGATGCATAAACTAGATAGAGCTTCACATTTTATACACAATCTATTCCAAGTTATGGGCTTATGGCACTAAAGCGTCCACGTGTTCCCTGTTGCTAATACATTCCTTATCTTAACTTACCAAATCTGATGAGTTCCAGGGACCCATTTCCATGTGCTAATTTGCACTCTGCCGACTGCCGTGCCGTACTCATCATTCATCCGCACCAGTACAAATGCATGAGTGCAAATATGCAATTGAGAAGTGAGTGCGTGAAAACTATTGCTTATTTCCACTTTTACTTTTACTTTGAGCGTAAAAATTATTCTCTCGTCTCATGTAAAATAGCTTTATTTATTTGTGAGGAAGGGTGATTTGGTCCAACCTAATAAAAAGGGACATGTGGATACGACCTGATAAAGAGATGATAATACAGCCTGATAAGTCCAGTTCGCAATAATAGAGTTCGTGTATTCAATCACCTCAGCATAAAGGCCACGACTTAAAGGATCATCTCGGAGCAAAGCCACTTCGATGTAGGTTTCACCTTGGCATCGAGGCAC